ACGGAAAATGAAAAGTTGCGATTTTCTAGGCCGATATGGCTAGGAACTATACTCTCATTCTGGCGTAATAATCAAGGAACTTTGCTGCCGTACCATGGGTGCAGCAGGTGCAATTATATTACTACTTAAAACTACAGAAGAGTCAAGTTTTAAATAGGAAAAATATAGAAACTCTTTTGTCATTTTTGAGCGAGATGCTAACGGTCTAATCAGATTCAATTATCTATGCTAAGCTACAGCTAAAAGTGCTACCGCCAGACCCGGAGATCGGCTGAATGGATTTGAAAACGGTAAAACTCAACTGTTTAACTCTAGGGGGGTATTAGAGGATCGTTCCTTTAAACATTTCCGATGTGGTCTTTGTCTATTTGCAGCCTGTTTCTTTATTTGGTTGTGTTGTGAGCATTTGCAGCGCGTTTCTTTATTTGGTTGTGTTGTGAGAATTTGCAGCACCTGTTGTCAAACTGATGAAGATGTTTTCTTGATTTGCTGGAGCTTTTTCTATTTGCATGTGTTTTCTGCAGCGCGTTGAGCTCTCTCGGCCACGTGTGTGTGCTGTCAAATTGATGAAGATTTTTTTTATTTATTTGCAGGTGTTTTTTCTATTTGCATGTTTTTTCATTTGCAGTGCGTTGAGCTCTCTCGGCCACCGTATAGTATATCACATTTTCAAATTATTTTTTAATTGAAAATCAAGAACGATTAGATAGTACGTGATAGGATCCCCCTAAAGATAATTTACTGTTATCTGTATCCCTAAAGATCATTTACGCTTTTTTAGACCTATATGCGTCTGAAATCAACGCATTCACCAACCTGGCGCTTTTACAAGCAGAAAGAGGGCTGTGCTCGCCGGGAGCGGATCTGATGGATTTCCTGAGAAATCGCAGACATAAAGCCCCGAGTCTGTGGCTCTTAAATGAGAAAGAGTCAGAGTAACTGTGCGTAACTTCAGCTGTCCGGAGATACTGATTCGTCCCTCAATCTCTGGATCTGCTCTCATGACGTTATCTTCAGAGACGTTCAACACGCTTTCTGAAGGAGCAAACCTTCGTCTCAGGTGCAGAAGCGCTGGGCGGGGTTTACTTGCTTGTGCAACACAATCTATGTCCACCGATTCACCCTCAAGTCTTTGGATGTAATGAAAATCTTCAGATGCTGAAAAGTCTTGATAAAATATTAATAAAAAAATTTAAAGAAATCATGTAGCCGTCGCATGAAATATTTTTCAACTGGTTTTGGTTATGTGCATTGTTGGCCTTGTATAGCCTAATTAAAAAAAATATATTTTATCCTGCTCAATACATATTAAATACATCGGTTACTGAAAAAGGCATATTTTTGTTAACAGTGTCATTAAGAATACCTTAAAATATCACAAATTATAAATTAAAATACTTAAAATGTGTAATATATGTAACATTAAAGTAGGCTTAAGTTTTTCCTATTTTTCTGTTTGACAATCTGTATTGTGTAAAGCACTAAAAATAAAGGCGACTTGACGTTTATACACACACACACACACACATATATATATATATAACAATCTATCTTAAGAGTAAATATATATAAATGAGGTCAGTTAAAACAAAATTAAATTAAGATACCCGAGACAATGATTTGTGACTTATTCAGGTTCTGACTTTTTTTTTTTCTAGTAAAATGAACTGAACTTCTATCAGAAAGAGCTTTATTGGAAAGAGCTACAGCACAAACACACACACAAAACATTATTCAGTGACATACCTAAAGTCTGATCCCATAAAATCCAGAGAAATAGGCAGGCTCTCATGGTGCGCTTATTAAACGTCTTTAAATATCCAAGACAAGTTACACAGCTCTCCTCAAATCGTTGCTTGTGCTGCACTCACTCGCTACTATCACTCTCTTTTCATCTCCAGAGAGCTCCACCCAATGCACAGGAAGTTCAGCAGACATGTCTGTTTTTGTGTTTTAATGCTTAGTGAGTGGTTTCCCTAATGATTTCATTCTCTGAATTTATCTGCAGCCCTGACGTTTAAATGACTTTATTTAAAGCACTTATGGAACTTATTTTTCTTTCATTTCTTTTCATTTTCATTTCTTCTTTTTTCTTTGTACTAATATATATATATATATATGACCAAATATACAAAGAATACACGTCATTGGTTTTATCTCAGCTTTTATTATTTTTAAACAGGACAAAAGGAAAAGGAAACTCAGTGCTGCACTCTACTGCAAAGAAAGACAAAAACAAAAACAATAGAGATCATAGGCAATTTCAAACTCTGAAACAAAACACAAAGTTTTCCCTGTAAAAAGGAAGAGGAGTAATGATTTAGAGAACAAGGACTACTGATTCACATACAAGTTGTAAACTTACCAGTCGACTTAGACAAATAACTATTTGAAAGTGAACAGGAAAGCAATGACTCTTGTATTTAATCAAATCCATCAACAGCAGGTAAACAGAGATTACAAATCCAGAGTAATTACTCAGTCTAACCTCTAAAGGGGGTCTTGGATTTCCGTTAAAAAAATCAAGAGTAAATGAATATAGCAACTGGGCAGATAAAAGAAACATAACCACAAACTACTCACAGACAGTACTTTACAAAACACAAAACCACCTGATTCATATATTTGGTTAGATGCTAAATGAAACCTAGTTGATTGATATCAAAGCCAAACTGTGGACAGAAATCCATTAAACACACCATTAGTGCCAAGAAACATGCCAACCTTTTCCAAAACCAATGGAAGAGCTTGTTTAACAAATCACACATTACTCCTCAGTGCTACTGCATTATTTCTTATGAAACTTCTATGATGTATCAAAAGCACAGTATATATATATATATAAATATCTTACCACAGATTTAAATGAATATTCTGGATTTTCAACAATGCTCAAGGAAAGAATCTGAGGCACGCTGAATAATTTAACCTCATCTTTCAGTTTGTAAGGCGGAAGAGCTTCTTGTGTTTTATGAACATAATTCTTGTGGTGGAGTTTAAAGACATCCACTCCATGTAACTGCACACATACTTTTGGTTAGCACACGAAGTATAATGCTACACTGAAAAAAATGTTTCATTCATCCAATTAAGGGCAAGTTATTTATTTTTCATTGGCTCAAGTTAAAAAATATAGATGTGAATCATTACCCTGCATTTTTTTAATTGGATGAATTAAAAAAAAAATTCAGTGTAATGTGTCATGTTTATGAGCAAGTTGCATTTTCTAAAGGCTTAGTTTGAATAACTGCTAAACTTTCATTGTAATTAATGCATATCCATTTCCCATGTTTCTTACAAACTGAGAGATGAGTCAGAATCATAGTCTGCCACAGATGTGGTTGAAAACAACAACATATTACTTTAATATACACTCCCGTTCAAAAGATTGAGGCTGGTAAGATTTTTTTTAATGTTTTTGAAAGAAGTCTCATACTCACCAAGGCTGTATTTAGTTAATCAAAATACAGTAAAAACAGCAATATTGTGAAATATTATTGCAATTTAAAGTAACTTTTCTATTTGAATACAGGTTCAAATTTCATTGATCCCAGTGTTGTCAAAGCTGAATGTTCAGCATCATTACTCCAGTCTTCAGTGTCACATGATCCTTCAGAAATCATTCTAATATGCGGATTTGCTGCTGAAGAAACATTATTATGAATATTGAAAAGAGTTGTCCTACTTAATAGAAAACAGTTGTCTTACTTAATAATTTTGTGAAAAGTGTCGCTTTTTTCCCAGAATTCCTTGAACAGAAAGTAAAAATAAAACAAAACATTTATTTGAAACAGAAATCTTGGAACATAATTGTATTTACTGTCCATTTTAATCAATTTAATGCATCTTTGCTGAATAAACATTACAAATCTTACTGACCTCAAACTTTTGAAGCGTGTGTGTATTTTTAACATGTTAGCTAAAACTATGAGTTAGTTAAGAGAACTCCCCTGATATTAATAAACCCGGGGGCCATCACCAAACTTGCTCCAAATGGCTGTGAGGCCCCCTGAATTAGAGGTCTTCTCGGGTCCTAAAATCTGTACCCGACCCGAATCACTTCTTACCCGAACCCGACATGCATAAATTAATTTTTTTTTAAAGAAAAACCTGACCCGAGGCTGACGGCATTTAATTTCGAACCCGACTGGACCCCAACACAAACGGTATTGACGTGTGTACAGCCTGCAGCCCCGCAGTCAATCAGGAAAAATCCCGGTGTCCTGCTCACTGCTTTGGCCGCTTCTCCATTACTTTGATTTATTTAACATTTATTCAATTTATTATTAGGCTACTTTATATTAGTGCCTACCTGATACAAGTTATTTCTGAGCTCGGCTTTCAATTGTGACCAGTGGATTTGAAAAATAAACGTGATAGTTTGATAAAAAAATTAATCGATAGCCTAATAATTCATGGATTTGCTAGTGTTGTCTGCAACCTGATCTCTGGCGACAGCTTTTGCACACAAAAAAGAAAAGCCCTGTATGAACACGCAGCATAATGAAGCGAGTGGATTTTCCTGATGGATCTCATATCTATAAGATGATTTCTGTGTGCGAGGTTACAAACGTATGCTCCTTTTTTGTGCGTTCCTCACTTAACACGAAAGTGAAAAGTAGCCTACGCATTCGGGATAGAAGAATTGGGGTCTAATCGGGTCCAGTTGGAAAAAGCATGTTTATTTTAAATTCCCCGAGACCACTAATATCGAACCCGACCCGTGTCCGAGGTACTCTGAGTTTTGGACCCGAACCCGCTCGGGTTTTCCGGATCCAAGTGGACCCGTGAAGACCTCTACCCTGAATACACAGAGTAAAGAGAGAAAATGTGAGACTTGCCTCAGCCTGTGCAGGGCAACACTGAGACTCTGCCTCAGCCAGTCCCATGGCATTGCTACAAGGAGAAGAGAAATCCTCAGTTTAGGACAACAACCACAGTGAACTACAGTCACCTTCTTACCTGCCTCTTCCTGAAAATCACAAGTAATGAGCTGTATAGCCTGTACATAAATGATTCTCAGGTTCACAAGCGTTATTTCAATCTCTTGCAGAAGACTGTGATTTTCAGGAAGACTGCTATCTGAATGGTTGTTTTTCTTTTTATCTAGCAGCCATATGTCCTTGCATAAGAAGCTGAAAATTTAAAGGGGTCATCATACATTTACTTCCGATGTTCACTACATTATTTTTTCCCATCGAAAATAGTCGTAATTAGTTTTTTCCATTTATCGCCTTGTCCCTTTCTGTTGCAGCACAAACTATTAGGACCAGACTAATAATCGGGGACCTTCAGCCAGTTTTCTATTGTTAGTTTGTCTGTTGTTCACTGATGTCAGAAGTTGTGAGATGTTAACGTGGCGGTCTTTTTGGACTGAGGAGGATGATTTGAGTTGTAACAGTTACATCAAGTTGACATGGTACAAAACTCATTTACCTTAAAAGATCAAGGAAAACTTGATTCCTCATTATTTGACCCCTTTAAATCCAAACTTTAATATGAAAGGAACGTGGATGCAAATGCTTCAGTTTTCCTCTCACCCACAAACACATTCCAGCACACTGCAAACACAGCTTTCATACAAATAACAGCCATCGTGTGGATCATTTGTAGTACAAACCTTGTGAGGTTGTCCTTTACTTGCTAATGAAAAAACAGCCGTTAGATTTCAATAGTTTATTACAATTCATAGTGGAACAGTACAGATAGCATTCACAGGAGTCCTTTTGTTATTGGCCCTACAGAGAGAACACTGTAATTGTAGACAAGCAGACATAGAAAAATAAATCCAACAGTGACAGCTATCTGAAGCCCTCACCAAGCAACGCTGGGGACAGGACGCCCAACAGCACCTATGGGTGCTGCGAAGGCTTCACACTTTTAGTACAGTAGTATATTTACAGTGACTTGCCTTGATAAAGGTGCTGTACGAAACTCCAGCCGCTTCAAATTAATACGAACCATATTTACTACACTTCACTTCTAAAAACCTAAACAAAACATGAGAAAAAAGCCAGACTGTATGATCTGCAACAAAGGGTAGGTCCAAATAATAGACTTGACAAAATTAAATGTCCCATGCGCTATACAGTTTGATTACTCCATCTCCTCATTGCAAGAAGGGTTACGGTTACTGATCTGGATTGTAAAGCACGCCACTAGATGGTAAAATGGTTGAATCACCAAACCTAATGAAGACCAGTAGTGACGCTTCAATATCGGCCTCCAGGAGACATTACAGGGGGTCTCATGCCAATGGCGGGCCGAGGGGGAGCGGCCTGGAAGGGAGGGACCATGGGTGGGGCTTGACCGTAAGGAGGCATTCCTCCTGGGATGTACCCAGGCACTCCCTGCGGCGGAGCACCGTATGGCCCTACATGAGAGGAAATAGATTAGTTGCATTTGAAACAGTGATTCAAAATTTTTTTTAATCTGGTTTTATCTTACGCTGTTATTCTTCACTAATATACACTACCATTCAAAAGCTGGTTGGTTGGTCAGACTGTTTAATTATTTAGAAGTCTCTTATGCTCATTAAAGCTGCATTTAGTTGATCAAAAATACAGTAAAAACAGTAATATTGTGACATATTATTCAAATTTAAAATATCTGTTTTCTATTTTAATATACTTTAAAATGCAATTTATTCCTGTGATGGCAAAGCTGAATTTTCAGCAGTCATTACTCCAGTTTTCAGTGTCACATGATTCTTCAGAAATCATTCTAATATCTTGATTTGCTGCTCAAGAAACATTTTTTATGTTGAAAAAAGTTGTGCTGCTTAATATTTCATGGAAACTGTCTTTTTTCAGGATTTTGTGACAAATATAAAGTTAAAAAGAACAGCATTTAACTTTTTAACATTCTCAATGTATTTACTCTAACACTTTTATTCAGCAAGGATGCAATTAAATTGATCAAAAGTGAAATATCTCACCGCCCCCAAACTTATAAACAGTCATGTAAAAAGACATTTCCTCTCTTATTTTGAAATACCTTGCATGGGATGCCTAACACCCGGCTGTTGTACAGGAATGCCCTGCTGAGGGGGCAACACACCTCCCATTGGTGCAACTGGTGGGGAATTTACGTGGGCCTGTCCTGCACTAGGGATTTTACACTGGTAGCGAGGCAGCTGTGCTCGCAACTCCTCCTGTCAAACACAAAATGCACAAACTTGTAAGACATAAATATGGGCTTTTTTGCTTGCTTTCTTTTGTGGAATGCAAAAGATTTTGTGAAGAAAGTATGTCAGTGTGGTCTAGTGTTGTTCTGGTGGCATTGACTTTCAATGTATGGACAAAAGCATTATTCAAATCTATGTTCCGCAGAAGAAAAGTCTCAGGTTTGGAACAAGACAGTTTGGAATAATCAAACAGGTGTTTTATCGAATGAAAGCATGCACCATTCCAAAGCTGACCAGTTATTTCTGCAAAGGTTAAAGATCAAAGCACAGAAACAAGTTCACTTACCAGTGATATATCTTCATCAGGGTGGATCAACTTACTGGTTGCACTGGTGGTGGTGAGGGTGGCAGGCTTACTTGTGACTGGGGTGCCCGGTTTGGCCACAGTGCTGCTCGTGTTGGCCACAGCAGTGGCGGAGGACTGGGTGTAAGCTGGGAATGTTGGTTTGGGAGCAGCAGAAGGTGGTGCAGAGGAGCTCACTGCTACACCAGAACCAGCCTGCTGGACCTGCAGAAAGAGACCAAGGAGCAAATCAGATACATTCAGTGATTCAACTAATTCTGCATTTAGGTGCATTTTGCCCAACATAACACTTGATTTGAGGTTTTGTTATTTACTTTATCTAGAAATAAAGAACAAGCACACTTTTCAGGCAAACATTTGAGATGCACGATATAAGTGGTATAACTCAGTTACTGGCTGAATTGTACATACTCATTATTACCAAAGCTGTCCAATATTCAAATTCAATATTTAAAAACACTAATAATTTCATAACACTGTACATTTCATACAGTTTATTCTAAAGGTGTGATGTAAATTCACTTGTAGCATTAAAAACTATTGATTTCAGTTATTAGCTTATTTTTTATTAAAAAAAAAACAGATTAGAATTAATATCAGCCATAGCATTCAGTCTGATCAGTATTAGACTGAATTTTAATATCAGTGCATCCCTAACAAAACTAGGTTTGTTAGGCTTTAGGTGGATCATGATCAAGTATTCAAATACTTTTTGGGGCCTACATACAGTTAAAATGTGACTATGAAGGTGGATTTTACACAATTAAAAACCAGAAGAGAGAGAAACAGTCTGAGTTTAAAAGAGAGAATTAAGACGTTTATCAATTCTCGGTCTCAACTGAGATCAATCTCTTTCAACTCTTCTGAAGCACTACAGACGCCCCCTAGAGCAAAGTCAATTATTCTAAGAGGCAGTCTGAGGTCTATCTGCTGTTACATGCCATCAATAGTTTTATGAAGCAGCTCTTTCACCGAGTCAGCAAGCTACTGCATACTTGGGACAGCGGTTTAGAGGATGCTGACAAATTGTCCAGACTGGAGAAGCCTGAGCTTGTGCTTGGAGCTCGAGTCCCCATCTGCAGGATGGAGAGAGAGCACACAATAAAGACCCTCAGCTGTTTGATTCCGGACATGACTGTTGCTCACCAAAACTATCATCAACACACTTAACACTGAACCTCAGTTTGTTTAAAACGACCATCTCTTTTTTTTTTTTATGGATCCTCAAGCATTAAAAGTTCATCCATTAATACAGCCCACAAATCATGTTTCATAACTTGGTCTCATAGGGTTTAACAACAAGAGTTTTTTTTTTTTTTTTTTTTTACTGCTGGTCATGTCAGGAAATTAGTTCAAATTGTTTAACAATAAATATTACTGTATATTATATAACTATATTGTAAAAATATTTAATATTGTGCTCAATCTGCCAGGCCTACTGGAGTCTCATCAATAGGTCAACGCATGTGCTAATAGAGCTGAAGTAAACTAAGCCTGAAACAGAATCTGCTCCGGAGCAGCTTGTGGTCAGAGAGTAAGTTGCTATGGCTACTTACATACCCTGAAAGTTACCTCCATTTTTGGAACCGAAAGCTGAGTTTATCCTCTTACTTACCCTTAAACGTACCCGGGTAAGTCACATAACCTGCTTTCTGGAATACCCCCAGAGCTACTGAGAGTATAACTTGTTTTTGTCTTAATGACATACTTAAAAGGGAAGCTGACAAATATGTCAGAAGAGCTTTATTTTAGCAAATATTTAGTAAATATTCTCCCCCACTGACCAGTTCATAAGACATAAATAAACATGCATGTTCATAACAAGAAAAACGTATGTAAACAGAGATCTTATTATAAAAGAGCTCTGGTAAACATACACACAATGGAACTTATGCATTCAGGTATTTTGAATCTGTTTGAGGAGACAGTCGCATTCAAGCATTTACATTAGTTTTTTCCTGTTTTTCAGATTATTTTAGGTCTTCACTGTACTGCACTTCCCTGCTCTCTCTTCCTAACCAAATAATTGATGGTGAAAAAAACTCATAACCAAAGAAAAATACTGTATGTCCAGAGTCTAATCAGTCCCTGAAAGAGAAATATAAACCATTTAAATTTATTCAGATGACTTTCAAACTGATTTTTTGAAACAAAAGTAATATTTTACAAGACAATTCTTTCAACTTCAAAATTTCACAGAAAATTCAATGTGTTACTTGCCATTTCTTTGTTATTTGTGAAACTTACTAGCAGTTTCTTAGTGGCAAAAAGGTTCTATACCAAGTTTTTCTATGGTAGGGAGAAAGGGCATCATACCTGTCCTGCACTGGGAAACAGTGGCTTGGAGACACTCGGCTGTGGCGTGGACACTGTGGTGGCAGGCACAGCTGGCCGGGTGGTAGTAGGAGGGGCCTGAGCCATGTGGAGTATGCCAGGGTGATGACCCATGTGAGGAGGTAATCCTGAGCAGAATGATGAATTAATTATGAACCAATATAAAAGAAAATAAATAAATAAATAAAAAACAATTTAAAGAGCAGGTCATATGGTTTTTTAAAGTGTCCTAATATTGTGTTGGAGTCCCCTACAACTGGTTTAAATGCATCTAAGGTCAGAAAACAGTGTAATTTTCCCAGAATATACATTTATACATAGAGTCATTTGTCCATGATTTCGAAACGGTTCGTTCGATTCAGTTCTGAGCGAAATGTCTGTAAACCCCTCCCTTCCATAAGCCTACTCTGCTCTGATTGGTCAGCTGGCCAAGCCTGTTGTGATTGGCACAAAGAGGAGCGCTTGAGCAAGTTAGCGAGCGCTACCATCTGTGTTGCCAAGTCCACGGTTGTTTTTGATGTCGCGGGTTGTAGCGACCCCAATAACGTCATATTTAGGATCTGGAATGCAAATTTACCAGGGGAGCCCCGACTGAAAGCGTGTATTTTACACCCCAGAACGCGATTTTTAAAGGGGGCCCACCCTCGAAAAACCATTGGGCTAGTTTTGAGTAGCAATTGGGCGGGTTTTGTTGTGACAACCTGGCAACCCTAGCATGCACCTTTACATAAAACAATAATATAGTGCTCCAATCAGTTCTTAAAATAATGA